GGACGGGGAGGGACAGAATAGGGCTCCGCGACTACGGCAACACCTATCGACCACTGTGCCATGGTTTGCAGGAAGAGATCCTGCGCCGCGGCACAGTGGTTCAGGTTCGTCTGGACCAGGAGGTTGGAGACTTGATCCATTACTGGATCGTCTCTACAACCTCCTCCATGGGCGACGACGTCGACGCACGAACTACATCGGAGGCAGCCTGGGTCGACTGGCTAACCCCCGACGTCTGCCGAGAACTGCGGGGAGGCTTGCAGCCTCTCTGCCCCATCTGGTGATTGGCGGGCTTATTGCCCGCCGCACACACTGGGCAGTGAGGGGCGGCAGAGCATTCTGCCGCCTTATGCCCCGGTTGACCGCAGCGGAAACACAGTCCGCCGCAGTCAAAACAACTGTCGCACTTGACGCGCGTGTGTCCCGATGCTAGGCATTTGTAGCATCTCATCGGTCTCGCCGCCAGGACTGTGATCCTGGCGCTCACGAAACCGATGAGCAGCCTGCCGGCGTCGGCCAATACTTTGGCCGACGCTACGGGACAGCTGACCCACACGGCGCCAAGCCCTCCTGGACCGGGGCGGATGGTGCCGACCCTGACGTTGTCCGCGCTGCACCCCGTCTTCTCCCGGATTACAGCGCGGACATCTTCGGCCGTCACTGCGTCGTCCAGGCCCGAGATGCGCAGTTCCGCGCACTTGGTAGGCCTGGCGACCCTGACACCATCTGTGGCTGCAAATATTCCCCGCAGCTTCTCAGCGAAGGAGTCCGCCGTCTTTGCGCCTTCAGCCCCAGGGAACTCGAGAACTCGAGCTCCCGTCTGGGCGAGGCGCATTGTGACCCCCACCGTCCCAAACTCGTTGGCGAGGCTGTCCCGGGCCTTCTTGAAGACGGCCGCATAGGACAGCCCGCCGTCAGCCGCCTCCGGGGACACGGTCACAACTACAGCCGCGGTTTTGGGCGGCTGCAGCTTCCGCGGCCTCTTTGCAGAGGCCGTTGCCACCGGTGGCGAAGGCTGGGCTTGGGCTGCTTTTTGGGCAGCCTTTCTGGCCCGCCTTCGGGACTTCTTGGAGCCCCTCGCCTCCTGCCAACCCTCGTTGGAGGGGGCAGGTGCGGAGGGGCCCGGCAGGGGTGTCGGAGTGGAGAGCGGAGGGAATGCCACTCCGCTCCTCGGCGCCGTTTTAGGCCCCGTCTTGGCCGGCGCCTGGGGATGTGCCTTGGCCGGCGCCTTAGCCGGTGCCTTGGCCGGCGCCTGGGCCGGCGCCTGGGCCGGTGCCTTGGCCCCCCTCCTCGGCTTTTGTGGAGCCGATGGAGTAGGGGCAGACGCCGCCGCCGCGTAAGAAACGCGGCCTCCCACCACGGGGAGCGCGGTCGGAGCGGCGGCCTTAGGCCGCTGTGCCGACGCGAGCGGGGGGCGCATAATCGGCGCAGGAGGCAATCTCGCCTCCAGGCCAGCCAGGCGTCCGTCCAGCATATTCCCAACTGCGATGAGGATTTCTCGCAGTTGGGAGTCAAATGCCCCTGAGTTGGTGGTAGGGGCAGGCTGGGACGCGGACGGGGCTTCCCGCTTGGGGAGGTTCGCCTGGAAGCGGGCGAACTGAGCGCTCAGCTCGTTCACCCGCTCCGTCAGCTTCTCGTTGGCCACCTGCAGGCGAGAGACGTCGCCCGCTAGGCCCTCCACGACCTCCGACAAAGCGGAGGAGGAGTCCTTAAGGGCCCTCACAAACGAGCCCTTAAGGTTCACGGATTTGGTGGCCACCTTGTCGATGACGGCCACCGCCGCTTTCGCCCTCTCCTGCACGGACACGGGAGCCTGGGGGGCATTTCCCCCCCCCCGGCTCCCGAACCTTGAGCAGGAGATCCGCGATCTCCTCCTCCGCTACGGCCTCTCCGTCCACTCGTACGCTCCTGTAGGACTCCGCGTTTGAGAACGCGGAGCCTGACGGGGTCGAGACCGAGGCCGAGGCCGGTTTACGCGCCCTCCCTCGGCGGCTGCTTGCCACCTTTGGTGGCATCATTTCGCCGGACGTGTCGGTTTCCACGTCCCCTGAGCGTCCGCGTTTCCGGCTGTCGCTCCGCTCCGCTTCCATGGCCTCCGCGCCATCCGATGAAGCGGCGGATCCGGAACGCAGCCGATCCGATGCTCTTCGGCTCCCAGTGACCAGAGTCAGACTGACCTCTGGGAGCCCCATCGAGATAGGCGTCCCCGACGCTATCTCACCCTCCGTGGATGACCCATCCACTCCACTATTCCTCCTCTTCGTCTCATTGTCCGTTAGGCTTGCCTTTGTCTGTTGTGTGTTTTTCTTTCCGATCGTTTTCTTTTTAGTTAAATTAATATTTTCCATAATAATCCCACGAGTGGGGGAGAACTAAAGGTCCACCCGGGCAGAGATCCCCCATTACCCGGGCAAGCGTAAGTTTTTAACCCAACCGAGGGGTCCGCAGGTACCTCGGCTTGGAGTGCGCTCGCGACTGAACTTCCCATCAGCCATGCATCCCCTGGCCACGCACCAGAACACGGGATTCGGGGAATTTTTTAGAGAGGTTATCTTCCTCGCGGTCCGGGCGGTTAAGCCAAGACCCTCGTCCCCGATCAGAGCCGCGAGACTTAACCACAGCGCTCTTCTCGGGATTACGATATGCCGACGGTTGACAGGGAGACTACGTCCCCCTGCCTGCTCGGTGGTAGTGTGAGTACACGCCGAGCCCGTCCTCCTTTCTCCACCGCTATCAGCGGAGAAAACTGTGGCCCCTACAGGGCCCCGCCATCAGGTTTTTACCGAGGTTTCCTCCTCCATGCTCCGAAGAGCGAAGAGCCAGCAGGGCAACCGGCAGACACGCCCACCCTGCTGGACCAGGCCTTGCCCGAGAGCCGATGAACGGCTACCTCTTCAGCTAGAATATTGGCCGCTGGCGATAATCCTCTCCTCCAAGAGGACAAGGAGGAAACAGTACCATCGCCAGCGTTTCCAGGGTGCACCACGAGGAGGTTTTCTAGCCCAGCACCCCACACAAACCCTATACCAACCCGTCTGGCCAGCGTGGTATAGTAGGCCAAAACCTCCTTTCTAAGGAGAGGCCTGTGTCCAGCAGTAGACTATTAAAGGCTGTTGATGAAGATGATGAACGTAATGGCCTACTGTCGTCAACTGAGCACACATCATTAATATTATTTAGCGGGAATTAACGCGATCTACATACCCTAAATAAGAGATCGCGTTAATTCAAGTTAAATAATATTAATTATCATGGAACGCGAAAATTTAAAAGTTAGTTGAGCACACATCTATATATTATTACGTAAAGCGAGAACTTTGTACCCCTTTTAAAGAAAATTGCACTAACGGATGAACGTGAAATTTGACAAAGTTAAAGTTTGTACGGAGAAGAAGTGCAAGTAAATTCATTAGAATAACATTAAATTAATTAAAATAATTGTCCGTGTGGTGACGTATTAAGAATACGGAATGTCACCACCCCCTTTTTTTCTTTTTTTTCCGTGCGGAAGTCCCCTCGGAAACCACCTGTCGGTGGCATGTCGGACTCGAACCGACTAAAACCGCACGCCGTCTCGGGTACTAATAGCCGGGGAACCAGGTATACCCTAGAAAGGAAGTCCCTGGTGCCCCGACATACCTCGGGTCATCTACAGGCGAGTAGACGACCCCCCCAATGTCACCACCCCTATTAATCCCGTGGGTGTCGTAAGAGCCGACTAAGGGAGCAAACTACGTCCAACAACAGCACTGCAAAGAGAAGAAAAACTTGAAACAAACCCTATACCAACCCGTCTGGCCAGCGTGGTATAGTAGGCCAAAACCTCCTTTCTAAGGAGAGGCCTATGTCCAGCAGTGGACTGTTATAGGCTGTTGATGAATTAAAATAAACAATACACACACTATTGCTTGAAAGACACACACACACACCCATACATACCATACTTATTCTATGTTCAAACTGTAGGTTAATTTTATAATAAATATAATATAAACCTTTGATTATAGAGGTATAGTCTTTGACAAAAGAACCCTTATAAAGTTCAAACTTAAAAATTAAATGTATTATGGTAGAATTTTGACCACTAGGCGACCAAATTCCAACTTGTAAAAATATCTGAAAAGATTTACTTACAGAAATAAATATCATATCGTTTCAAAATAGTTTTTGTAAAAGCACATACTTATATTTTTCTAAATACATACATATTATAGATAAACTATCTGACCCGCGCAACTTCGTCTGCGTCTCTCAATAGTAATAAATTTTCTCCGTTTTTGAAACATTCATCATTGGTGCTCCGCTCCTATTGGTCTTAGCGTGATGATATATGGCCTATAGCCTTCCTCGATAAATGGGCTATCTAACACTGAAAGAATTTTTCAAATCGGACCAGTAGTTCCTGAGATTAGCGCGTTCAAACAAACAAACAAACAAACTCTTCAGCTTTATAATATTAGTATAGATTACACCCAGACACAGAAGTAATCATCATGCACATGAGAATAAGAAAAATAGGTATGAGTCTCTTTGGTAACAAACAGTCTTATATTATTAACTAGCTGGTACACGCCACTTCGTTCGCGTGGAATTTGAAAAGCGTTGCCTTAGTGGGTTCGGCTACCTGGTAATATCGAATATTATCGAAATCGGTCCAGCCGTTTAGAAGATTACCCGGAACAAACAGACAGACAAAAAAAATTAAACTGGTTCTTAGGCATAGGTATCGTGAAAATAACCGTGTGAACATGTAAAAACCTATAACTTTGACTTTACAAACAGACACTTCAATTTTATTTATTTGTATAGATGTCTGCCACCTCCTCCATAAAAAAAATCACACAATATTTGTCCAGGGTACGAATCGAACCCACGACCTCTGGCTTAGCACCGAGGACTGCTAACTACTACACCAACAGACAAATCAACTTAGTAAAAGGAAAAATCTTTTTCCAATAGTTTTCACAAACTTTTTTAAAATAATATATCTTTTAACAAACCCATCGCTAAGTGGTATCAACGCTGGTGCAGCTGCCCTGGCCATAGAGCTCATGTCAGCTATCCTCTCCGCCACTATGGTCTGCAGAGGTGAGTAGTCAAATTCTAAATCTTTGGAAGGAACTTCTGTCATCATCACCTGTCTGGCAGACTTCTTCATAACCTGTAATAGTTATTTATTTATTTATTAAAAACAATTACAGTGTCTTTACAGGATTTATCCCAAAACGATACTGTAAGTAAAAACAGTAAGTAACAGTTATTTATACATAAAAATCATTTGCTGTAATACATCTCTGGGCGACTTCTTTGAAGTTCGGCAGGCTACAGTTGTAGATATCTACTTGTATTGAAATAATATTAATAAGCCTTATGGCGCGTGATATAGGAGCATATCGAAGTAAATTTGTTCGCGTTACGGGAACGCTGAGTTATATCGACGACTGGATGGTGTAGTGGTTTGTGTAACGGACTGCTATTCCAAAGGTCGCGGGTTCGATTCCCGCTCAAGTCAAACATTTGTGTGCATGAACATTTGATGTTTGATTTGGTCTGGGTGTTTCTATGTATAATATGTATGTATTTACAAAAAAAAAGTATATATGTATTTATATCAGTTGTCTAGTACCCATAGTACAAGCTCTGCTTAGTTTGGGATTAGATGGCGTTGTGTCTATCACATACACACAACGCCATCTAGTCCCAAACTAAGCCAAATCAAACATCAAATGTTCATGCACACAAATGTTTGACTTGAGCGGGAATCGAACCCGCGACCTTTGAAATAGCAGTCCGTTACACAAACCACTACGCCATCCGGTCGTCTTAGATTAGCAGAGGATGGAGCTCAGTGGAGAGAGCTGGAGGAGGCCTATGCCAAGAGGCGCACCGAATTGCGAAACATATAAGAAATAGAACTCGTAAATATGTAGTCAAAGCTGTAGCGAATTCGGAAGAAAAGAGCTTTATTATTATTCGAAAGACCATGCAGGTAATCAAGATCTCTATCTGACAAACTCCATAAATGAGATGAATGAGTCTCTTTGGTAACAAACGGTTCTCACGGTTTTGTTATGTTAAGGGGGAAGACGAGCAGACGGATCACCTGATGGAAAATGACCATCACCGCCCATGAACATCTGCAACTCAGGAGTCACAAATGCGTTGCCGGCGTTTTAGGAAGGAGTACGCTCTTTTCTTAAAGGTCGTATCGGTCCGGAAATACCGCAGACGATAACTCCACAGATTGGTTTTGCGTGCCAAAAGGGTCTCGAAACGCTCACAGTAGTGTAGAACCACTATCCAGGTAATGAGGATGAAAATTTTGCTGTGTGGAACGATGGCGGAAAGTTGCGGCTGGTATAGCACCATACAGTGTCATTAATGTCATAATTAGTGATAAAAGAGAAGGTTAAACAAACACATTAAGGAAGGGAATTTACGGTAGATAAATAATGTATTTAGGAAGTTATTTAGCTTCCTTACACACTAAAACATTTCTTAGAATATTTAAAAAAAATAAAAACAAATATATGAATGAACCTCACACTCATTGCAATTACAAAATTTGTAAATTTTAATGGTAGTAATTGTGCTCACCTTATTTATTTATTTAAAACTTGAATTTTATTGAAGTTTTAAATATAAATAATAATAAGAATTATATGTATGATATGGTTATACTTATTTATCATTAAATAAACATGTCATACATCTTTCCTGTTAACCATACAATCTTTCTTTCTTTCATACAGGTGATGGAAAAAAGGGAAAAGTACAGAAATATATTTTCTGTAATGAGTTTTACATAAAACTATATAAATATCATATATAAGGAGGTACCGGGTGACAGGCAGGACCGGATTAACTATTAGGCAAAGTAGGCAACTGACTAGGGGCCCTGCTTTTACTGTTAGTTGGTGTAAATTACACATCAGTCAGGTAATGCCGTTGATCGTGACAGGAGTGACTGGATACCCACTCCCCTAAATAATTTTTCACTCAAAGCCAGTAGTCACTAACTTGAGATCACCCATCCACTCACTAGCCCCCTATTCCTTTACCATGAAATAAAATCATAGCCATTACTGAATTACTTACATCCTTAACATTCACTGGCAAGAAACCATGCAGCTGCCCAATCAGTACTCTTTCTTGTGGCGCTAGTGGCAACAAGCCTGGTTTACCCTCTAACAAATGCAGGAATAAGGATGCAAAAGGGTTATCCACTTTATATATGTCAAACAGAATAGCTATCGCCACCACTCGTTGACCAGGCAGGCATAAATCCCCGCCTGTTATTAGTGATGATAGAAGTAGACACACTGAAAATAATTATAATAACTTTCATTATTTAAAAAAATAATTGTGCACAGACAAAATAATAAACAGCACTCAAATTGATCGTGACAACAATTAAAAATTTAAAACAAAATTCTTACAGTTGAAATGGTCCGATTTAGGAAACTTCTTTTGCACCTGTGTGCATATTGAATCTAAACTTTGTGAGTCCACTGTCTGCTCTGAAAATAAGCTGCAAAAATATAAACAATTAGAAAATATGTTTTATTAAGTTGTGTCTGCAGAGGTTAGATTACGATACAGTTTTACTCACTCTAATATGTATTTGCTATTTTCATTAACTAAATGTTGAGACATTTTATTTAGTTGTTACGGAACTGTAGCTATTATTATTAATAGAACCGTACGAGGACTCAAAAACGCAATTTTCATTACATCTAGGCGTCAGTAGGTATGTCAAATCAAAATATTATTTTGATAATTTGACAGCAGTGACAAAAGAAAGGATGCGCTCCGTTCTAGCACGGTACTATTATAATATTGTACCGTGGTTCTAGCTTACAGCTAAGACTAGATTAATTTTGTAAAATTTATATTGAGAAATTCTTGAACATGTCAGTAAGAGTGAACAGTACCAAACATATTCATGAATACGTTTTCAAGAAACGAAATACACTGTAAGTACGGTAACGCCATCTAGAGCTACACCTTGAATTATCTCAGAATACATCATTTTTTTACTGACAAATCCAATTTCATTCAAGCATTATCTATTGTTCATCTTATCTAAGAGGTACCGTTTGACAGTTCTGTCATATTGACGAATAAGGAGTGAGTCAAAGAAATCGATTGCTACAATATCTGATTCTCAAGAGATATCAATATCATGTCTTTGTATTTAGAAATCGATTTCAGTTTTACAGATTTATGTATGTTACTGCATAAGCCCGTATATTATTATATCTTAGGTTTTATTAGTAAATCTATATGTATAAGTAATGTAGACAAGTGATGATTGGTAAAACAAATTAACATCTATAAAACAATTGAACACACATAAGTAAAGAGAAATAAATAACACAAGATCTAGTTTCCTAAACATAAGGCCATTATAGCTGGCAAATAAGGTCGAAAATACACCTAATTTTATGCTAGTCAACACATACATCACACATCACATCAACAGCCTATAAAAGTCCACTGCTGGACATAGGCCTCTCCTTAGAAAGGAGGTTAACAATACGGAATACGGAATTTCACCACCTCTATTCATCCCGTGGGTGTCGTAAGAACCGACTACACAACAACAGCACTGCAAAGAGAAGGAAAACTTAAAACAAACCCTTTTTTTTTTTTTTTTTAACGTGTGGAAATCCCCTCGGACCGTAACCCTCCGGGGTTTGCGGCGGGGTGGTGTGTCGGACTCGGACCGACTAAAACCACACGGTGTGCCACTCTGCGCCTGTAACAGGAGGGATCCGGGAACAGCTGATATTAAGACATCCGGACCCCTCCTAGCGCCAGCCCGCTCCTGGTGCGGGCTCCGTCTCAAAATTTTTTTTTTCCTGTCTTTAGGCATCGTCCGGCACACGCGGACGCCGCCCCCTCGCGGCTGGCCAAACTAATGCGGGTGGAGGGGAAACCCACCCCGTCCACCCGCGGCCACACTCAGGGCGGCATGAGGCGGTGATAGGCGCGCCTCCGCCGCCCGGTTCGCCGGCGGCGGATCAGGTCCGAGTGGAGGTCGTCCTCCCGGGCCTTCTCCGCCGCCTCCTACCGCGAGATTACTTCCTCGCAGAAGGTTGCGACCGCGGTAAAACAACTGTCGCTACCGGCCATGGAGCGTACTACGGCCGGTAGCGAGAGATCCACTCCGATGACTGCAGTGAGGGCCCGGCGCTGCGCCGCCCATGCGGGGCAGACCGCTAGCGTGTGCTGGGCCGAGTCCTCACTGCAGTCGCAGTGGTGGCAGGCGGGACTCAGTTCCCTCCTAGCGACCGAGTGCAGGTACTTTCCGAAGCAACCGTGCCCGGAAAGCACCTGCGTCAGTCGAAAGGAAAGAGTCCCGTGCTGCCGCCCTGCCCACTCGGTGATGACCGGCTGGAGAGCCTCCACGGCGGCGAAGCCAGCGCGTGGAGTCTTCAGCCGGAACGACCAACGAGCCATCGTGGCTCGGCGAGCGGCTTCGCGCCACTCGCGCACATCCTCGGGCGGAGGGCGAAATCCGCTCTCCGCCCGGGAGTCAGCCACTCGCCGATAAACTTCGGCGAGCGAGTTCCACGCAAATCCCACGGGGGAGTTCCGGCCAACGCGCATGCCACCTCCGTCGAAACGGTGCGGTAACCGCGTATGGCTCTGACCGCCATTACCCTCTGAGGGCGCCAGAGGCGTGCCCTATTCTGGGCGGTCAGAGCCGCCGCCCACACCGGTGCACCGTACAGTGCCATTGACCGGACAACCCCCGTGTACAGCCGTCTTGTCGCGACGCTGGGTCCACCCAAATTGGGCAAAAGTCGCCCTAGGGCAGACGCAGCGCCGACCAGCTTTGGAGCAAGCTTTCGGAAGTGCTCGTCGAAGAGCCACCTCCCGTCGAGGATCAGGCCCAGATATTTCATCTGGGCCCGAACCGGTACGAGGACCGAGTTGACCACGATTGAGGCGCCAGGGGGTGGACCACGACGGGGCCCATGAAATAACAGGGCCTCCGTCTTATCTAGGGCCACCCGTAAGCCCAGCGCCTCAATGCGCCCGACCACCAGGGAGACTCCCCCTGTGGCCAGGCGCGCCGCCTCTTGGAAGTTTGCCCCCCGGGCTGTCACCAGGGTATCGTCTGCGTAACAGATTACACCCAGCCCGGGGGGGAAATCGACGCGAAGGGCCCAGTCGTACCCTATGTTCCACAAGAGGGGTCCAAGAACAGACCCCTGTGGAACACCGCACGACATGGGCCGACACCTCAAATTACCATCTCGGTCCTCGTACACGACGGTACGCTCCTCTAAATAGTCTGCCACTAGCCGCCTCAGGTACTTTGGCACCCCATGATAGTGGAGTGCTTCCCTGATGCAGCTGAATGGCAGACTATTGAATGCGTTGGCGATGTCTAATGACACCGCCAACAGCACGCCGCCACAGCTCACGGCCTCTTCGGTCACGGCCCTCAGGCGCAAAACGGCGTCGACTGTCAAACGCCCCGCCCGAAAACCAAATTGGGCGTCCGACAGATCGGGGCCCACCTCGTAGAGGTGCCGGACGATGCGGGCAGAGAGAACCCTCTCAAACAATTTACCCGCCTCATCCAGCAGCACGATGGGCCTATAGGCCGCGACCGAATCGGCAGGCCGTCCCGGCTTCCTTAATAGGACCAGCTTCCCGCTCTTCCAGCACTCAGGGAAGCGCCCCGACGCCAAGCAAGCGTCGAACACACACACACACACAAATTAGACATTGAGAAACTTCATGAGGTTGAAAATTGCTTGCAGCTATTTATTTAAATACTCATCACATACAAATAATTATAATAGTTGTTCAATCATGAACATAATTGCATCACCCAGCAACAGCATTTATGTCACACGTGATGCGGCGTAAAGTCGATGCACTGTCAACGTTTCAGCATGACCGAGATTAAGGCAGCTGCATCAACACCAAGTAAATAGCCATGCAGGTGTACTTAGAGTAAGTTTAGTATATAAGATGCATTATTATGTAAATAAATCAGTCATTTTGTCTAATCCGACTTTGACTCATTACCCTGTCCCACCTCTCACTGCGGCTAAGACACCTTTAGCCGTCAGTAGATCGGTCTTGTGAGCCTGCTCGACCGGCAGTGAGAAAATCATCTTCTAAACCCTGCTCCCTTCACGTCTCCGTCTGTTACCCTAGGTCTCCAGGTACAGACTTCCCGCACTATCTTTATATGTATATACACCCTCAGCGCAGGGTTGGTAGGGCTAGGGAATTTAGGGATTTAGGTACTTATGCGTAGGTTACGTACGAGTATTGCTCGGTTCACTACGGTGACCGCTCGATACACGTACTTAGGTTGTAATTCAGATAGGCTTTCAGTGTTACACGTACGAGTGCTGATTGGTGTACCACGGTTGCCCGTACGCACCCGTACAATAGTAATATACCTCTCACATTTTACACACGATAAAAATAGGTGCACGCAATTTTCGACTTCCTCCTCAATATCTAATTTCTTATGTAGTATTCGTAATCAGCGTCATTTATAAACGCCAAAAGACATGTTTTTAGAGTGATACCTATAAGGACGATAATTGCTTGCAACTGTTTTCTGTTATCTATATGTGTTGATATATTAATTAAAACTACGTGGAGACAATTTTATCACGACTGTGCAATTAAAGCGGTCCAATTGGTCCTGTCCTGAATCGAATAAGGGCACAAAACTTAATATTTTAATAGAAATGCAATAAATAATTAATAATTCACGTAAACAGTAAATAAAATGCATTTTTATGCTCACTACGCTTCTTTGTAAAAGTAACTGCGCAACATGCGGTTTGCAGCTAATTTCACTGGCACAGACTTGTATGGCGGGGAATTGTAAATACTAAAAGATGTCTGGATTGAAAATAGCAGGTCATTATTTAGTTCGATTATTCTTAAATTTTAAAGATTATTCGTATACAAGTGAATTTGAAGTGTCACAACTCTACGATAAAGGACCTAACTACGTGACTTTGAAACGAAGTTTTTATCTATTCTATATTTTCGCTTTGTTTAGAAGATTTTCATTTAAATTTAGTCAATAAGTATTGTTACATCTTATGATAAAATAGAAACAGCTTCATAATTCCATGATTTTACAGAAAAGTTCATTTAAGTAAATTGTGTAAGTTACGCCAATACAACGTTCTTACGGCTTCAAAGTATGAAAAGTCTAACGGTACCTCTTAGATTAGTGGACTATAAGTCATCAATAAGTTTAAAACTTTATTAATGGAGTTTTTTGATCAACGAATCGCAACTAAAAAGAATACATTTGATAGAGGACCTTTTTTTTTGAGGGAGTGGCTACATCGCGCCATCATCCTAGTGTTTATAGTGGGGCTGTATATTGGAATTAAACCGACTAAAACACACGATACGTCCGTGGTAAAACAACTGCCCCTACCGGCCCAAGAGCATATTTATGATTGCCAGGCAGGCGGAATGGCACAATGCTAACATAAAACCTTCGTATATTAGGAGTACTTATCCATAGTTATTTGGATAAGGTTACCTCATCTGACTTTTAACAATTTGTCGTCTGATGCAAGGATATTCTCTTCTTTTTCTTGTCTTCTTTAGTAAGTCAATTTGATGACAACATAATAAAATGGAGTTAGTTCCGTGATGCTTATCTATTTCAATATGACTTCGTCATGTTTGTTCTGATTACTATTATTTCAATACACGTCATGAGTCATGACGTGTATTAAATATTAGTGACGTCTTCATTTTAGACAAAGAAATCCATACAAATATTATAAATGCAAAATTGTGTCTGTCTGTCTGTCTGTTACCTCTACATGCTTAAACCGCTAAGGATAAAGGAAAGGACAAAGGATAGTTTTATCCCAAAAATTACTCTTTAAGGGGGTGAAGAGGGCGTTGAAGTTTTTATTGGAAATTAATAACCGCTAAACCGATTTAGATGAAATTTGATATGGAGATAGTTTGATTCTTGAGGAACGACATTAGAATTATTTTTTTACTGCGAAAACCGACATATACGCAGCAGAGCCGGGGACAAAAGCTGGTGCATAATAAACCCATTTTTTTTTATGGTATAGGAATTAAACGAGCAGACGGGTCAATTTGCTAAATCCTTGTAAAAACTATCAAATTTAAATGATTATATTTGTATTTAATAAAGTATTCGTTGAGGAAAGTAATAATAAAGGCCTTGTAAAATAATAGTAGAGCCCTTAAAAGTGGAGGAGAAGGATCTTCTTTTTTCGATAGGGGCAAACAGACGGGTCACCTGTTAATAAGTGAGTTTAAAAGCTGTGTCTTATAGCATAGTATGCAGAAAATTATTAAAATATAAGTTGAAAAAGTACACTGAAAATAGAGGAAAAATTACGATACGAACACAGCTGTTGCAGACGAAAAATTTCCATGTCTAAAGTAGTTTGTAAAATGCCAGTATACAAGCGACCGTGGGAGAGCCATGCTTTGGCACGAATCGGCCGGCTAGACCGGAGTGATACCACGGCCTCACAGAAACCGGTGTTAAGCAATTCTTTCGTTGCCTTTCACTGAGTGAGTGAGGTTACCGGAACCCAAATCCCTCCCGCTGACTCGAGCGGAAGGGACTCCAAGGGCAGTAACTCACTTGTAACTTTTGAGTTGCAGGTGTCCATGGGCGGCGGTAGTTGCTTACCATCAGGTGACCCGGCTGCTCGTTTGCCCCTTATACTTATAAAAATACAAAACTTCAATTATTTACGTGATTTTAAAAATTCATTTTATTCTAATTACTTTTGGCGCATTCTTTCTTAAAGATTGTTTTTATCTATAGTTCACGTCAGTTTTGTTCTTCATTTCTCATTATTGCAACCATAATGTGCCACCTCGTGGTAGGGTACAGCTAGGATTATGTAAACTGGTGTTGCAATTATAAACTTTAAGAGGTGCCGGACCCCGTTAACGGCTAGTTTGAATTACATTTACTTTGTTAGTTAGAGTGAATCTGACCAGAGGCCCAAGTGCGAGTATTATTATTTCACACCAACTCGCTCTCGACAGCGAGAGCGTTTGGCTTTGTGATAGGTGCAGATTTCAGTGCGGGCGAATCAAAGCGCCGAACGTGGTCCCTATGACGATCGCCTTAATGTGAAGTGAAATCACAATAGGCCGAAAGAGTTAAGTAAACATAGGAAGACTGTTCATTTAAGCATTATATTTGCGGTCATCGGGTAACGACGCCTCTCGCCTTTTAGGGTGTGTGATCCTATTATAACATATTAATACTAGCGAACCGCCCCGGCTTCGCACGGGTGCAATCTAGATACTACTAATACTCCTAATGTGGTGTCAGTGTAGAGTAATTAGTTATACTATTATTACAATATGACAATTTACCACAGGACATTTTTAAATTTCCTGTAGTAAATTGATTGTATCCATTTTCCACCACATTTGCCACCAAAGCAGAGAGGAAAATGGATATGACAATTGGATATGGTTATGGCTTTGGTTGCCACCAAACCAAAGGAGACGAAACGGAGGAAGATGAGCTGCGAAGCTGGCAGATTATTCCACCAAAGCGGAGAGGAGACGCGTAGCGGAGAGGAGAAGTGAGCTGTGTGTAGCAGAGATGAAAACTGTGAGAGCTCGAAACTAGTCAAGTACTGTACTGTACTGTCACTTGACTGACTGAACGTTAGTCAAGTCATTGTAGCTACGAAGGACAACGTCATGTCGTTACGATAGTTATATATTAATTTGCTTGAGGAAGAGGAATTAGAGGTTGAAGGAGTACGATTAATTCTTCAATATTTAAATTATCAAAGGCAACATAGATTTTGGATAAGAATTCATATAAAATGTGACTATCTTGGCGAATAGCCAGCATTTGCAATATAAGCGGGCAAAACCATATTTTTTAAGTTAAAGCTTTGAAATTCTCAGCATTTCTCCACTATAATATGTATGTATTATACATATTGCTCTTAAGTCACTCACTCTTACCGTTTCGTAAAATCCGTTGGTTAATTTAAAAGATCTAAGCACAACAAAAAAAAGCGACTTTATTTTATTTAATTTAAAGATGTTTGTTAAAATAATGATCCAGCCCCCGCCAATCTTGTCATATTTGGAAAATGTGTTTATTTTATTAGTGTTTTAACCTATATTGTACTTAGTTCAATCGTCGAAAGCGTACCTCTTACTATACGATATACTAAGATATGTTATAATAAATGCAATTACCTCCCTCCCTCTAATCACAAACAGCCGTGCCTGTGAAATGTTCTTCTTGAATTGTTCTTGTTATAAGACATTGTGATTAAGAATACGGAATGTCACCACCCTTATTCATCCCGTGGGTGTCGTAAGAGCCGACTAAGAGAGCAAACTACGCAGGACGACAGCACTGCAAAGAGAAGGAAAACTTGAAACAAACCCTATATCAACCCGTCTGGCCAGCGTGGTATAGTAGGCCAAAACCTCCTTTCTAAGGAGAGACCTATGTCCAGCAATGGACTGTTATAGGCTGCTGATGATGATGATAAGACAGATAATTCACACAGCAAAAGTAATTCCAAGTTGGTATTGGTATTACCAACAATATGAATTAACATTTCGAATCACTACAGGTTATTAAAACCAGTTTGATAATTATACAACTTCGATATCACATAATGCACATCATCACAACTTCATCACTGTTGGTGATAGGCCTGTCCTTAGAAAGGAGGTTTTAACCTAATTCATGATGCTACTTATGCAGTTACATTTGGGGAAGTCCTGAACTGAAAAGGTAACCGTGGGAGTGCCATACTTCGGCACTAGTGGGACGGCTCGACCGGAGGGATCACTCAAAGGTCAGGATATCAGCTGCACAGATACAGCAGAGCCATCACTGTCGGGCGGCTTCTATTCAAGCAGAAATCTGTTGTGCTCAATGGCTGATAATGACTTCAACTACGTATACGTTACCTCTTTAGTTAAAATTTTAACCTTTTAAATTCTCGTCCACCACTCTTCCTCCTTTAAAATTAAATCTACAAAATGCAATACATTCATATTCCCAATCACGTTAGAAAATAACGCCAACGAAAATGAATAAACACAAGATGATATCGCCCATTGAAAGAATTCAAAGAATCGTGCCACTTTGACCTACTCTCGTATTTAGAACATAGCATAAACTCGAAATTATCAAAGCAAACAATTAAAGTCAGCTGGTAAACACTACGTCACATTGTAACGATTTACCAAATTTCGGCCAGCACCATGAACAAAACCGTTCATTTGTAACCGATACCATTATCAAACAAATAAATGAACAAAGTGTCATTAATCTAACAATGTTCACATGACCAGGTTGATTGTCGCTAATTGTAAACGCAAACTTATCATTGTTGTCTCGATAAGATTATAATGTCATATGTCTCACTGTCTTACTACAGCGCCACCTCTACAGTCGTAAAGCAAGTGAAACTAGTAAATACGAATCGCGTTGTGATAATGTAAAATAATATTATTAAGTGATGGTGCAGTGCATTGTAATTGTGAAATGATAGATCCTCGTTCGATGCCTGTTGTGTCCGCCATGTCTATTCAGAACGCAATGCTTTATGACGACGGAGAATCTCATCGGCACAGGTCCTCATCTTGGTCGTTGCGTCGTATGACAAATGGATTATCAAGAATCGAGCCGAGATATTCCCTACAGTATCAGGTTAGTTAAATCTACTAAAGTAATTTTAATAGTTGGTTCAACTTCGAGACGTATTTAGTTGTTTTTTTACTAGATTTCAGAGATAACGTTGATTGTAGTTCATTTCGGATTTTATTGTAAGACATGACAGCGTTGTATCTACCTACGTCGTAAATTCTATTTTAGAATTCACTAAATGAATTCAAGAGTTTTGGGTTTTTTTAAAGCTTAGCTATCTTGTATTACGAATGTAGGAACTTCATAAAGTTCTTGGTCTTAGATCAGACAAATAAGATGTACCTCTTTCAAGGCCACCTTAAAAGTAAAGTATTTAAAGTTAAAAAAAATTGCAGTACAAGAAAAAAGTTAAAGTGCAATGTACAAATTGTATGTTCTTATTTCGAAGTATAATACAATGTCTAAATACATTAAAGGTAAGTCAAAACATCACGATGAAATACTATGTACATGTCGTACTACAATTCTCGACCCACTTAATAGGCTTGTGTCCACTAATAACAAATTGCTTGGTTTATAGTTTCAAATTATAAATGAAGCGACATAGATAAGAAAAAACTAGTCCATTTCTCATAAAAGTTAAAGATTATAAATATTTTAAAAAAAATCAAACAAAATAGGCATTAAGTCACGTGACAGCGAACACCAATCAGAAAGTGTTACGTCACGCCACGCAAAACATCATTGTTGTTGTTGACGTTTTCATACAATAGAGCAGGCTCCTTATTGTTTTTCGTTTTTAGCATATTTTCTTACCTTATAGTCCAGTCATTTAAGCTTAAATTAGGTAAGAATCTCGGAATTCGAGATACCCAGCTGTAAGTCTGTAAATACTTGTATATTGACACCCTAAAATATAATATAATAGTTAATAAAAATTGACAAATATTTATAATCATTGATTTATCGATAGTTCATCAACTATATATGGCGCGTTTTCGACCGGAGGCACCGGTTCACCTGAAGTGGTGCTGTGACCGCGCGCTCTCCGTCCTCTATATCGAAAACGGTGCACCGTATAAAAAAAAAAAAATTAAACAAAAGTTGTAGAGAATTTTGTATTCTACAATATTGATTATGAATACAAATAGCAGAAACCCATAGGAAATGAGATATTTCCAAAAAAAGCGCAATAAACCGATTTTTGTGACTTTTGACCTTGAAATTTAATAGTTGCTTACACCCTACCATATGTAGGTTTTGAGACAACTTTTAGGCTGTCGATATACAAGTATTAACAGACTTACAGCTGGGTATCTCGAATTCCGAGGTGAACTTACTATAATGACTGGACTATTATACAGTCTCAGTTGACACTGGACACATGTAAACAGTTTTGATTCGCAGTCTATGACGTCATTCAAGACGCTATGAGCGTTTTCAAGGGAAATTTTAATTGTTTTTTTTTTAATACAAAATAATATGTAATGTAAATATTGCTTTTTCTTTAAAATATAGGTTTTTTGGGATATAATAGATATTAAAGTATATAATTAACCAAGTTTTCAAATTGAGTCAACTAGCCTATTTGACTGTACAAGTCAAAATACAACCTATGCCGACATATAGAATTTTCAAAATTTTAAGAAAGTGCTTAATGTTTTCATAGAGCACATTAATGTTTACTCTTTGAAACGAGTTTCAGTCAACAAACTTCAAGAAATATCAATAGTAATAATAGATTAGAAATAGGTATACTCTTATTTGATTTCTTTAGAATTTCTTAGAAGAAATCACAGCTGGTTTTTTGGAATTTGTTTAGTTTACAAACTGACATGAGCACTTCAAATTATTGTAAAATTAAGCAACTAAAAATAATCATGTTTTGCTGTATTGTAACATTAATTTCCTGATCAGTAAATGCTCATGAATGTAGTTTTAGTAACCAACCTGAAATGTATTTTTTTTATAATTCTTTTGCACCTTTGATTATAAAAACATACTTAGGCACATCTGACATAGCCACCGGTGGGTGGTATCCGAGAGGATTTCCGCACAGAAAGAAAAAAAAGGCACAAAAACATTTTTTTCTGCAAGTAACGAAGCGTAATGCGCAAATGAATCACATCGGAATAAGTCGCGTTCCTGTCTTTGTTTTTTGCATACTGAAGCATAAGCTTCTACTGCTCAATCAAGAAATACTTAAGTGGAAGAAAGATGGCACAAATGGCATGTTGTAAAATATGTTAAAAACTGGAATGAACGGCTATCTGTCATTTATAGTCTGTCACATAAAGTAATTATTCCCCGTGATATTTTAGTTTTTTTATTTATGTATCACGTATTTCTAGACAATTGTTAAAGTTTTGGTGTTTAGATTTTTATATTGCCGCCTTAACAAGTGTTACTGATGTTGAAAAACTGTAAAACTTTGTGTGATATATTCAGGAACAACAATTAGAAGAACGTGTCACTGTTATTTTACAAACAGTTGTTTTCAACAGATACGTCGCTGTAGGAATGTGAATCGTGTCTTATTCTATTTAATTATTAGTATATTTTCACATGGGTGATGGCTTGGCAGTCGGACACTCGTGTAAGTGGAGAAAACATTACTTCTTTATAACTCTTAAGTTGTATTTCTTGTCAGATTAACTTTTAGCTTTACATTAAGATGTCCTTGTGGACAATTAATATTTTAATGCGTTTTATGTTGCGGAATGGTACGATATAATTTATTCATATACGTTTTGGTGTGACAAGACATATATTATTATTTTTTATCATACTTTTATTCTGTGACTCCAATCTGCTAAATAATAATATATGTCCTTCAACTTTGCTTATTGTTATGAACAGGTTATGGTTGATTTAAGGCCTATTCATATTAGATGCTACCGAATATCTTAAAATATTAAATGATCCTCTCAGTTGACACAAAAATTGTACCATTATTGTGTAATACTGGTGCATTTTCTGTTACTGTTTCATGGGAGACAATAATAATTTACATTTATGTGATAATAGTAGTGATGATTAGCGCTAGATAGCTGGCAAGAGCTGGATGCGAGAAGCCCAACATCGATCTAAGTGGCGTGCAGTGGGAGAGGACCATGTCCAGCAGTGGACAGCAATAGGCTGATGATGTTGATGATAGTAAAATAACAAACAGGAACAAATTTATTGATACCATTTACCAAAAAAAGCACACATTTTGTTATCATTAAATAAAGTGAGCTTATTAGAATTGGTTTAAAGTGAAGTATCCATAACAATGGAACTGCAAATTTAAAATAGATTCTGAGAGTATCCAGAATTAATGCATCTCCAATCTAAAAACAACATTTTCATTGCAATTGCAGAAATATTTTATGATTTATTTATAATGGATGCATTGAAATATGTATAATTATTTTTATCAGCACTGCAAAGAAAAGGAAAACTTGAAACAAATGCTGTACCAATGCGTGGTAGAGTAGGCCAAAACCTCCTTTCTAAGGAGAGGTCTATGTCTAGTAGTGGACTATTAAAGGCTGTTGGTGATGTTTATCAGCAGTCTGGTTACCATAGCACAAGCTTCCTTATTTATATTCAGAGTGAGACATTTTGTTATTATTAAAATGTTTACTAAGGTATAAAATCCCAAAACAAAAAAGGTTGTTTTGATTGATTTTGATGGCTTTTATCTTTGTCTATGACCATATCCAAGTAGTGCTTTACCACAGGTGAAATCACAGTGACCAGAATCAATCATTTCATCAAATGAATATGATTTAAAAGTAGCAATAATTTCCATGCCTAGTTAAAACTTAGAGAGTGCAGCACTTTATACATGTATTGTGCTACTTCTTCTTCATGTGCTATGTATACTCATTGTGCTTATGTGCTTGATAAACATACTTATATATTTTTAAATACATACATATTATAGATAAATTACACCCAGACAGAACAAATGACCATGGTCATCAGACTATATTTGTCCTGGGTGGGAATCTAACCCAGGACCTCCGGTTTAGCAGTCAGGGTCACTAACCACTAGACCAATAGGCCCGTCTCTCCCACACGCACACCGCTGTAACTCCTGTATACCAGGATTAACAGCAGATTGACCCACAAACTGAGTTGCGACTATAGATCTGAATCTTGGGTGCTATTACTATCAAAAGTATGGATATGACCAAAAATTCCCGTTAATTAGGATTCTGAGTGATAATAATTCTTGTGCTTTTATACAATATTTTATTTCTATATAATTCGTACTTCACGCAATAAAAATATATATCTCATGATTTTATTAATAAGTAAATAAGACAATCATTTAATAGGTACTTAGAGTTTAAAAAAATAAGTAGTATAACGGCCATGTAAACAATTTTGCAAAATCCAACAATAAACAATCTAAAACAATAAAATGTTGATGGGCAACCCCAATATCAGGCCAAACTAGTTTGTTTAAGCCACTACACTATTATATCTTGACATGCATAATGCAGGATACATCAGTTTGGCCTAGAACAAATTTAGTTTGGTACGAAATGGGGTTTTACTTTTGTCAAGGTATTGTGTAGTAGGTAAACTTCCGATGAAAAACGTTGGGATATCTAAAATTGCAGGGCTTGATCGGTAAAATACTCGGAATAGACTAAAATAACCTTAAATATTAAGTTAATTGTTGTATACCTCCGTAGGCTGAAACCTCCTTTCTAAGGAGAGACCCATGTCCAGCAGTGGACTAGTAAAGGCTGTTGATGTAATGTGTGATGTTGTATACCTACTTTAGTACTTAAGAATAAGTACCAAAATATTTAGATACTATTATCCTATCTACCTAAAATATTACTTAAGCAGGCCAAAAGGTCGACTTGCGCAATTTTTACTGTAGATTAGTAATTTTCACTAGCATTTTCTGGTCTCCTGGATATTGTAGATGTACATCACATTTCTCAACCCAACGCCTATTCTCACAGATAAGTAAAATTATTCCTCCAAGTTTTAAATTTGAGGCTTGTCATATCATCATCATCATCAACAGCCTATACTAGTCCACTGCTGGACATAGG